TCCCTGCTCAGCACAGAGCCTGCTTCTCCCTCTCCCTCTGCTGCTCCCCCTGCTTGTGCTCTTTCTCTGTGTCAAATAAATACATAAAATCTTTTTAAAAATATTATAAGAATATAATCATGGGAATTTTTCACCTAATGGAATTGTATCAAAAAATTATGAATATGTAAATATATGTCAAATATTTCCTTAAAGTTTGGTTGACATACAATACACTGTACATATTTAAAGTATAATCTCTAATAAGCTTTTATATCTATATGCACTTGTGAATCCAATACTACAGTCAAGATAAGGAACATATTCATCACTTCAGAAAGTTTCTTTGTACCCCTTTGTAATGCCCCCATCTACCTCTCTAGCCTCCCTCTCTACATCACCCTACCCCATTTTTGGGCAACCACTGATCTTCTGTTACTATGATTTTTTCCAATAATTGTATGTGAATGGACTCATAAAATGTGTATTTTTTTTGTCATTCCTCTTTCTGTCAAGCTATTTCCACATTTGTCCATGTGTTGCGTATATGAGTATTTTTTTCTTTTTTATTGTTGGCCAACATTCCATTGTGTGGGTATACCACAATTTGATCTATCCACTCACCTGGTAATGGATATTATTTTTTTTCCAATTTGCTGTTCTTATTTTAAAAAAAAGGTGCAATGAACGTTTGCGTATAATCTTTGCTTGAACATATGCTTTCTTTCTCTTGGGTAGATACATCTGGAGTGTAGCAGCTGGATCATATATGGCAGGTGTAGGATCAACATTGAAATAAACTGACAAAATGTTTTTCAAAGTGTTGGCACTATTTTTCATTACCACCAGCAACGTATGCAAGTTCCATCCTCCACAACCTTGTAGGACTTGGTATGGTCAGTTTGTTTATTTTAGCCATTCACAGAGGGGTGTAGTGAGATTACATTTCCCTAATGACTAGCAATATTCAGCATCATTTCATGTCCTTATTTGAAATTTGTATATTTCTTTTGATTAAGTATTTTATCAAATATGTTTTTCCATTTATTTATTTATTTATTTATTTATTTTCCCCCACCTACCTCAGCAACCCTCTGTTTCCTATAGTTAAGAGTCTCTCATGGGTTTTCTCCCTCTCTGATGACTTCCCATTCAGTTTTCCCTCCCTTCCCCTATGATCCTCTTCACTGTTTCTTATATTCCACATATGAGTGAAACTGTATGATAATTGTCTTTCTCTGATTGACTTATTTCGCTCAGCATAATATCCTCCAGTTCCATCCATGTCAATGTAAATGCTAGGTATTCATCCTTTCTGATGGCTGGGTAATATTCCATTGTATATATATACTAACTCTTCTTTAACCGTTCATCTGTTGATGGACATCTTGGCTCTTTCCACAGTTTGTCTATTGTGGACATTGTTGCTATAAACATTGGGGTGCAGGTGCCCCTTCAGATCACTACATTTGTGTCTTTGGGGTAAATACCTAGTATGCAATTGCTGGGTCATAGGGTAGCTCTACTTTTTAGCTTTTTAAGGAACCCTCCATACTGTTTTCCAGAGTAGGCTGTACCAGCTTGCATTCCCACCAACAGTGTAAGAGGGTTCCCCTTTCTCCACATCCTTGCCAATATTTGTTGTTTCCTGTCTTGTTAATTTTAGTCATTCTGACTGGTGTGAGGTGGTATCTCATTGTGGTTATGATTTGTATTTCCCTGATGCCAAGTGATGTGGAGCATTTTTTCATTTGTCTGTTGGCCATTGGTATGTCTTCTTTTTTTTTTTTTAACATTTTATTTATTTAGGGGCGCCTGGGTGGCTCAGTCGGTTATGTGTCTGCCTGCAGCTCAGGTCATGATCCCAGGGTCCTGGGATCGAGCCCCATGTTGGGCTCCCTGCTCAGCAGGGAGCCTTCCTCTCCTCACTCTCCCACTCTCTCTCTGTTAAATAAATAAATAAAATCTTTTTTAAAAAACTGTAAAAAGCAATTAGCCCTCCATAAGGTAGATGATCCTCATCCAATCAGGTGGAGGACTGAATAGAACAAGAAGAAAGCTCTCAAAATATTTTATAATAAAGCAGGATGGTTGCTGTTTGTGTTTTCCCAGCTTTCCTTGGCCAGCATGGTTACCATGGTGACTCAGTGACCGCTGTGGAACTTGGTACAATCTGAAAATACATTTATAATTTTTGCCTGAATCACTCATTTTTCTAATAGCGGTTAAGTGTTGCTTTTATAATGCTATCATTCTTTCTAGATTAATAATTTAGCATTCAAATGTTGGGTAGAGCTTTTCCATTCACTTCTTTTTTAAAATTTTCTTATTGTTATGTTAATCACCATACATTACAACATTAGTTTTTGATGTAGTGTTCCATGATTCATTGCTTATGCATAACACCCAGTGCTCCATGCAGAATGTGCCCTCTTTAATACCCATCACCAGGCTAACCCATCCTCCCACCCCCCTCCCCTCTAGAACCCTCAGTTTGTTTTTCAGAGTCCATCGTCTCTCATGGTTCGTCTCCCCCTCCGATTTCCCCCCCTTCATCCTTCCCCTCCTGCTATCTTCTTCTTCTTTTTTTTCTTAACATATATTGCATTATTTGTTTCAGAGGTACAGATCTGTGATTCAACAGTCTTGCACAATTCACAGCACTCACCATAGCACATACCCTCCCCAGTGTCTATCACCCAGCCACCCCATCCCTCCCACCCCACCCCCCACTCCAGCAACCCTCAGTTTGTTTCCTGAGATTAAGAATTCCTCATATCAGTGAGGTCATATGATACATGTCTTTCTCTGATTGACTTATTTTGCTCAGCATAACACTCTCCATTCACTTCTATCATTTACTTATTTATTCATATATTTATTTTCTTAGTATGACTCATGGATTCCTATTTTGCTCAAAGATTTACCCTCTGACATTATAATTATATATTTTGATGCTCACATTGTCACAGAATTGGGCAGTGTTAGCCCCTTCAAATTGGCTTCTGTGTCCATATGTTGCCTCCCTTGAATTCCCTGAGAATGTACTTTGCTTTGTGAGCCTGAGTATTTCCCAGTCTGTGGAAAGAAAATAATGTTGCCAACCTCAGAGCAATGCTTTGAACATTTAAAGACTAAAAGTTTAAAAATAGCAACCTATACTATGTGGCAAGAAGAAAGCTCTCAAAATGTTAGTTGCCCAATCCAGTTTTGCCTCCTTCATTTTGTCAACCTGCTGCCTCTGACATGAACATGATAGCATGAGTACCAGAGAGAATACTTGGATATGGAGCAGCAAGCAGGGAAGAGCCCACATTTCCATGATGTGAGAGCTTCAGTGTCTGCTGTGTGTGGGAGGAGGCTGTGGGATGGAGCTGGGGAAGAAGCACAGCATCACTGCACAGCTTCCAGTGACCTAAGTAGGGATAAGCAAGCACATGCTCATCCCTTTCCCCTGTGTTTCATGTGCTTTCCGTTTCCCCTCTATCCCATGTGCTGTCTGATCCCCTGACTCTCTCTTCTAGTAGATCAGCAGAGAAAGGTGTGGACTCTGAGCTTCTGAAATAGGAGCCAATAGAGAAGAACCAAGTGTGACATTCAGTGAGCACTAGATGATGTCGAAGAGGAGCTCATGGCTAAAGACTTCCACCTCAAAAACATGTTCATAAAAAGAATCACACACCTTTACTTTTTGAAAACCAAGGAAGAATTAGCTGACAGAAACTCAAAGTAGCCCTTAACCTTGTAACTTTCTTGTGAGCTGGAGTCTCTCAGAGTAAAAAGATGCATGAAGTGGCAGGGGTGCAGCAAGGATCATTCTTGTCTGAGCTGGGATCCCATTTATGTTTGAAACTAGAGGAAATATGGAGCATGAGGGAGTGAGTTACCTGGAAATAGCTATTTTTGATGGCTAAATTTCTTTGTGTCTGACTGTAGTAGTGAAAATCAGAGAAAGAGGGAAAACTGAAGCTAGTGATAATATGCAGTACTTAGCAAAATTTCAATCTGTGTAAAAGCATTGTTGATTATACCAAATTATGTGTAGTCAGCCTGACTACTAACCACACAGTAAGCTCTTGTTTTCTTGGAATCCAAATACCCTGAATTTTACCTTTAACTTCGTGTCACTCTTTTTATAGCTTTCTTTACACAAATAATGCATTTTTATTGTGGAAAATGTAGCAATTATGGATAAGCAAAGGGGGGCTCCCTGTTTGGTTCATTTGGATCCTATAGAATGACATACAGAGCAAACGTGTCAAGACCTTATTCAAATAAACTCTTTTCAGAGTGGATACCCAGAGCCAGCACAGACTTAGCAAACCTTATATATTCCTTAATACTATCCAGTACAAAAACCAGTGATGCTGAACATGCCAGATTTTCAAGTGCCTTTGGGATTATCAAAGGCAGGTTAAATAATGCAAGGTCTTGATCTGGAGTTCAGAATATATCGAATCCATTGACAAATCAGTGGTGCTCTACTGTATATGGATATTCAATAGAAGAGATGACCTTATTTTCCAGTTATTCTGGATAAGAGACAGTTTACATATATAAGAAATGAGAGGGGACAATTGCTGGTAGATACAAGTTAAGGGTTGCCCAGGAATAATTTCATCTGGATCAATATCCCAAGGAAGAGGCAGGGTGCCATTTCTGTACCAAGAGGTGAATGGAATTTGCCTGTTGAATGCTGTAATCAAAAACAAACAACACTTCACTTTACAGATTAAACTATCCTGTTTTCTCTTAAAAAACTGAATTGACTGTGTGTGTGTTTCTTGTGTTTCTATGTCCCTTCTGGCTCTACTACCTCCTACACATACTCATGGTTATAGTTTATTTTTGGGGGGGGGGGTGAACTTTATGTAAATTTCACCTAAAAAAAAGAAAGAAGGCGACAGTCGCACATCAGTGGGTCCTGTTGGTTATAGTTGAAACTCAGTAAAGACCAGCATCAGATCTCCAATTCAGGGTTAGACATCCCAGAAAATTTGTTTTTTTTTTTTTAATTCTAGGCAAGTGATGGATACAGAGGGATTGTTCCAGTTAAGTGAAAATCCAGAAAGCTGGCTGATCCCATGAGGTCAAGCTCCCAATCTCCATCCTCCCTCCCCTGTGTGGAGCCCCCTGGTCTGAGACTCAGAGCTGCCATCCTGGATCTCACCACCAGGTGACATTACATTTGTCTCCATTTTTGTTATTCTTTTTTTATGAAAAGGAGTGCATTACGAAGAGTAAAAAATACCACAAAATAGCTATGATACCAATTCTGCTTGGAAAATTCATATGTATATTAAAGAAGATCCATTTGCTTTTGACCCCAAACTACATCGTGTGTATTGATTTATCTCTTGCCTCATCACTGTCAGCTGATGTACAGTGTGGACTGGGCAAATGTTCCTTACCAGGGAATAGGGCATTCTCCCTCCATTACCCCAACATCGTATAGGCTGCCCGACCTTCTCCCACCCCTTTTCACCCCCTGTTCATGACAAAAGACACAGCTTCCCAGATCCTGCTCAGATTCCCTGTCCTCTCAGTTACCTACCCCTTGTTCTACCCTAAACCACCCTTGAAATACCTGCCACCATCTTCCAAGGTGCACCACTGCTACCAGGTGTTTCATCTGCAGGCACCAAAGTATATGTTTTCACGATATTCTTTTACACCTAGCAGTTTTTCCAGACAGAATTAGAGTCATTTTTCGTAAGTTTAATGCCTGGGATTTTGGGAGATTATTATTTTTCTACTCTTTGCAGAAGCTTCAGAGAAGTTTGATGTTAGTGGTACTTTGATGCCACCTTGTGACAAAACTCTGAACTGTAGCTTGAACATGTCTGGGAAGGAAAGTGGGAGGGAGGGGCTCTGACCCAAACTCACCAGACTGAACTTTCTGGAAGTCAGGATGAAAATGATAGAATTCTTTGGGTACAGCGTATTGATGGCTTTCTCTGGACATTTTATACAAATGGAATCATACAATATGTTGTCTTTCGCATATTGAGCGTCTTTCTCTTGGCTTAATGTTTTTAAGTTTCAAATATTGTAGAATGTATCAGTATTTCATTCATTTTTTTGGCCAAATATACCACATTTTATTTACCCATTCATTAATAGGCGGACATTTGAGTTGTTTCTGCTTTTGGCTATTATGAATAACGATGCTATGTACATTCCTATACTAGTTTTTATATAGACATATGTTTTCATTTTTCCTGACTGTGTGCCTAGGAGTGAAATTGTTGAGTCATTTAGTAACTCTCTGTTGAACTGTTTGAGGAACTGCCAGACTGTTTTCATAACCCTGACAGTGTTGAGGCGTGCAGGCATAGTCTGTCGTTCTTCTGATTGGACTCCTGTTATGGGTTTTGAGAAAGAATACCGTAGAGTTGAAGTGCCCTTCTGTCACTTCATATTTAGGAGGACATGATACCCACGTGACATCACTTGATCACTGGAGATGCTGACCTTCATCACAGGGTTAGGGTGGTGTTTGTCTAGTTTCTCCAGTGTACAGTAACTATTTTCCATTCACCTATTCTATTCTCTGAAGTGAGTCACTAAGTCTGTTCTGCCCTCAGGGGTGGGAGTCAGATATGGTTCACCTCATGGAGGCAGGGTATCCACATATATTATTCGGAGTTATTTAAAGATAGTTTATATCATGGAATCCATTTTTGTTAATTCAAACATTTATATATTTGTCAATATGGATTCATGTATACATATTTTCTCAGGTTTTTTCAAATGGCTACATCCCAAAAGAAGGTCTAGTATCATGATTTCTTTGGTGTAGAAAATGGATTTTGACTGAACACCCAGGAAACTGCAAAAGAGTTCCCTAACTTTTGCCATTATATATCACTACCATGGTATTGTCTAAATATGGTATGTTAGACAATGCTTTCAGATAATATATTTAGCCATGGCAGAGTTTGGAATGACATTATACTTTCATATGATTTTATTCCGTGATTGATTTCCTTGAAAAAGAAATAAAAACATATGACAGAGTCTATTGAAATGATGATAGCAAATTCTTGCTAACATGCATAAAACATATTTACAAAATCCATTCAATGAAGCAAAATTATAAGCTATGTCAGAGAAAATGTGTGCTTCATTTGAAAGCCCTTTGTGAAAAGCACAGTACTTCAGTTATCTGACTCCTATTCTATGGAAGGTATTTTACAACTCTAGCTTTTATGTAGTTGATCCCATTGTAATATAATCCTTGTCTTACCCAAGCAATTGAATTCTGATCTGGGGATAGGAGATCCTTCCCTTTGGGGGGAAATAGTTGTTTGCATCCTTTGAACAATCATTTTAACATTATAGATATGTACATGTGATAAAGAAGTGGCCGTTAAGTTGGTAAGTGTAATTTCCATGGAAGCATGGGGGAACATGGCCTAGTTATATAATGCATGAAGACTAAGTTGGAGAGAAGGTGCATGGAGATGTAAATTGAGTATGGAGATTTTTCTTAGAATTTTGGTGCAAAGGTGAAAGTATATGTAAAGAGGAGAGTCACGAGAGTTGTGGAGAGGGGCCCAGAGCATTAAAGCATATTTGTAAATCATCAATTATAAGAGACTTGCGCAGGCTGAAATCTTAAAGGGAAGGAGCTATCTCTTCTTTGATTTAACATCTGAATTTACCACTCCACCCTTTCCACACTTTACTTGTTTCTATTCTGGAGAAGTCTGATTCTTAACTAAAAGGATGGTATAGAGTTTGGTATTAATGCCTGGTAAGTAGATGAATGGATAAATAGATGCAGGAGGTGTCTAACATGTCCTGGGAAATCACTGATTTTTGCATCTTAGGACAAAGCTCTTCAGGCAGCTAATGAACCTGTGGTGTTGGGTGGTTGAGAGGCTGCAGCTTCTCAGGATTCAGCAACTGATGGCTGCAAGATGGGAGGCATTTCAAGTGTGAAGGACCAGCCTGAGCATTGCAATTGCTGTAGAAACCTGACATCATTGTGGGATGTTAATGATTTTTTAATAGAGACAGATATGTCCTGGGAAGAAGAGCATGTCTGCCTTCAGGTAGTTGGGACTCATCTGGGAGAGTGGGTCTCGGTGATGGGGGCTGAAATGCCCTGAGATGTAAGTAGACAGCAGGATTCAGTTCCAAGTCACCTTTTTCTGACTTTGGGACGTGGTGCCCTGGTTGTTACTTACGGAAAGCCATTGGGGTCCCATCTGACCCCAGTGACTGTGGGTCCTGCCCCAGGGGTGTCCTGGAGCTATTTTTCTTCCAATTCAGGGGTGTGGGAGGTAAGATGGGTAATGACTCTGAGCCCCAAGTCCCCCTTTGTACAATGGGGATGAGAATGCTTCATCCACAGGGTCACTGAGAACAGTCAGTGATGCACAGGAGCAAGCCCATGGCCCTGTGGTTATTGTGGGATCATGAATGCCTGTATGAATTAAGGACACTTCTTATTCCTTTTCAACTTTATTGTTAGGGGATAGATAAGGAAAGGAGAAAAAAAAAAAGAGCTCTGGTGGAAAATCCATTAAAATGCGATTGTTAGGACTATGACCCATTGTAGCAGTGTCAGTGACACTGAGTTAGTGTCTAGCATGGTGCTGGGCACATAATTACTCCAGGAAAACATAGTGAGTGCTGGATCTGTCTCTCCCTGTGCAGCTCTTCATGCTGGTGGTCAAGCTCACATCAGGGACCTAAAGGAGGTAGTTTCTGAGGGTCTGTGTCCTGATGGTTTCTGAAGCTACTATTTCAGATTCAAGGACAGTGGTCATAAAGAAACCCCATCACCTTACATCCCGTGTGGGATATGATGTCTGGCATGGGTGACTATAGCTGAAAAAAAGCAGTTGTGTATGAGCTCCTCTGACAGTAGATTAGTTTTGATTTCCTGTAGTTTTACATGAAAAGAATTATAAAGGTTGCATTTTATTTTCATGTGGCTTGTTACATTCAGCCATTGATTGATTGATTGTTCTGAATTATCTTTTATTTTTACATGCATATATGGAACATTATTTATGAATACTTGGGAAATACTTTCTTGAATATTTGGTATATAATACCTACTAGAAGAAAGCTTGTATCTGGGAATCATAGATTTTCAATTCTTTTTTGAATCATGAATTATCCATTTGATATGCACTGAAGTAGAAAACCACACAGAATTATCTTCAGATTTAGGATTATAGTAAATATATGATAAGTGAATTATTAAACTCTCCCAAGGAGTGACAATTGAAATAATATTTTTTCCCTTTTGTAAAGCAAAATTTTGTACTTTGATGATATAAACCAAAACATAGAAATGAGTTGTGTTTGTTTGCTGCATACATATTTATTTTTTTCTATTATTATTATTATTTTATGTTAGTCACCATACAGTACACCATTAGTTTTTGATGTAGTGTTCCATGATTCAGTGTTTGCATATAACACCCAGTGCTCCATGCAATACGTGCCCTCCTTAATACCCATCACCAGGCTAACACATCCCCCCACCCCCTCCCCTCTAAAACCCTGTTTGTTTCTCGGAATCCATAGTCTCTCATGGTTCATCTACCCCTCCGATTTCCCCCCTTCATTTTTCCCTTCCTTCTCCTAACGTCCTCTATGCTATTCCTTATGTTCTACAAATAAGTGAAACCGTATGATAATTAACTTTCTCTGCTTGACTTATTTCACTTAGCATAATCTCCTCCAGTTCCATCCATATTGCTGCAAAATTTGGGTGTTCATCCTTTCTGATGGCTGACTAATATTCCATTGTATATATGGACCACATCTTCTTTATCCATTCATCTGTTGAAGGGCATCTCAGCTCTTTCTATAGTTGGCTATTGTGGACATTGCTGCTATAAACATTTTTTTTTTAATTTTATTATGTTATATTAGTCACCATACAATACATCATTAGTTTTTGATGTGGTGATCCACGAGCCATTGTTTTTGTATAACACCCAGTGCTCCATGCAGTATGTGCCCCTCCTTAATACCCATCACCGGGCTAACCAATCCCCCCTCCCCCCTCCCCTCTAAAACCCTGTTTGTCTCTCAGAGTCCATAGTCTCTCATGGTTCATCTCTCCCTCCAATTCCCCCCTCATTTTTCCCTTCCTTCTCCTAATGTCCTCCCTGCTATTCCTTATGTTCCCCAAATAAGTGAAACCAT